TTCGAGGGCCCTTGGGCAAGCAAGACACTAAGGGCCCGACAATTTAATTAAAAATTGAATATAACAATTGGAGTATATAGTACTATTTATAAGAGATAACTTGCAATGTATATTTAGCCAATAAAAAAAGCAGTACATTTAAGAAGGTAAAACAATAGTAAAATTTTGAATACTTCAAAAGTTCAAATAAAGCTTCAGTTCTTTTTAAAAATCTGCCTTCGAGCATTTCTTGATGCAAAATCTTCAAGAACAACATCAAGATCAATTTGATTCTGTTGATGTTATTGGGCTTAGAGGTTAAATTAATTATTACTTGAATTGACCAATACATCTACTATACATTTAAATACATAATACTCATGGGCCCCCTAGCCTCATGGGCCCTTGAGCGTCGCACCAGCTGCCACCCCCCTTAAGACGGGCCTGGTTTCACATGTCGTTTCTCGAGAGAAATTGCATATTTTTCGTTCATTTTTTTTCTTCTTCTCTTATTTGTCTCTTTTGAATTTTGGCAGTTTCATCACGCCAAGAAGACCCAATGTGCCTTCACAGTGCCCATCTCCGTTGCCCTCCTTGTCGACCCTCGAATTTCTATTCCGCCATCGCCTCGAAATTCCTTCGTACATTAATGTACGTTCCTGACATACTCGCTGCATCCTCATCATCATCAATTATGTTCTCAATAAGGTATTTATGAGTTCCAAAGACAATTAATACACTTTTTAACTTGGTTAAAACTTACTAGGGACAACCTTTCTAATTTAGGTACAAATACTCCAACTTATTAATGGAAATTATGATTACATAAAATTGAAACTTTATGTTTAATGTTGTTCAAATTATTGTAGATGATATAACACCTAAAAAATAGTTCGATGAACCGGTCTGAGTAGGTTAGCTCGCGCATGGCTGTTTCAAGGAAGCTTCAGCTCAGTACTATCACGTGACCTTGTTATGGAGCTTGCTTCGGCAACTCGGGAAGAGTCGACCTAACTAGAAGATTGAGGGGCTGAGTTTCTCTGAGAGCTCGGACAGATGAGAGACGACCTAAAGGTCGTGCTATGATAAGAGCATGTGGCGAATAGGTCATGAAGTTGTTAGGAAGTTCTAAGGACCTCCGTGCAGTAAGAGAAAACAAAATTATGTTAGAAATGGTAAGTATATCTCGTTAAGACATCTAGTATCTTACAAATGTGTTAAGCTAAAAAATGAGATATGGTTGGATTATTTTCTAGCAAGAACTCTACTTGAATAAAAATATGACCCAAATATATAAGGGATTACCAAGTTTTATTTTACATGTCGCATGTTATTCTTTAGCATACAATCTTATATACATTCACAAGAAAGATTCTAACTTGATTTTACATTTCGCATGTTATTCTTTAGCATACAATCTTATATACATTCACAAGAGAGATTCCAACTTGATTGTCGGAAGTTTTCCGCTGATACCTCTACCCTTTGCATTTTGTTGGTCATTGAAACTCAAAGCGAAAGATCGTTGGTGGTGGTTCCAGTTTAAGCAATTTGCACACCAAATTGAAAGTAGAAAATTTGAATTTCCTGGAGAATCTATATTTTGAATTTCAAAGACAACAATAACACACACACACACACACACACACACAAAAAAAAAAGGTCACTAAAGATAATAAGAAAGGCCAACATAAAGACATAATACCACGAAATGCAAGAATCCAAAGATTTAGGTGAAAGCCACATGACAAAGACAAATAGTTATACTACCGCATAAGACCAAACGAGTAGAAAGATGCTAGTTAACATATTTTCACACCCCATGTACACAAAAAGCATATGTTTTCTGCCAAGTACTTCAGTAATTAGACTAGCCCAGCTTCAGACTCCGTTATTTCCAGCTGCTCTCCGCATTCAAACTTGCGAGGTGTGCTTGCATACTATTCAAGAGTTGCAAGTTGTGCTTGTATGCTAAGTTGTACAGAAAACATCTCAAGTGTCAAAACTCACATAATAATGATAACAGAAAACATCTCATGTGCACATAACAATGATAACAAACCAAAGGACTTGGCAATCCACAATTTCACTCGCAAGAATTTTATAACTAGGGATGTTCGAACTGGCAAGAATAATGAAATCGGTTTGATTTTGCATTATATTTAAACAAAATAACATAAATATATATTATATTAAAAAAATAACCGAATACTACTTCCTAGTAGGCTAGTACCCACACGCATTTGTAACTTCACCATTCAATTAACAAAGCAGCAGCCCTTTCCAAACACACTCTCCAAATTGTGGAACTCTAGTGCTCTTGAAAATCAGTCCTCAGCAGTTCCTTCCTCCCTCAAAGATACTGTTGTACGCACTCATATTCAGGTTATCCTGTTTGCCCTTAAATTTTCAATGTAAATTTATAGAAGATGTGAAACTATTTTAGTGAGCTAGTTATTATTAATAGTAAAACTTCTAACTAATTCCATTTTAATTTGTCCCGATTGTTAAATTTGAGACTAGTTACTATTAAACTCCGTTTGCAATGAAAGATTTGTTAAGGAATTTGAACTTCAAATTTTAAAGTTCAAATCCTCACATGTTTGAATGAAAACAAAACTTAGATGATTTTAAATTAACATTAAATAAATTTGACATTATTTTGAAGAATTTCAAATGACACATCAAACCTAGTCAATTGAAATCCACTCTTTATACTCATCGATACTGCCCACGGGTAAGCCTCATCATCACCTAATGTTGTTTTTAAGGTTTATCTAATGTTATTTGGGGTTTCATTGCAGGGGTTTAAAATGTTGTTTTTAAGTTGTTTGATTCTGTTAACCGAAAGACTAATGAACACCCAATAGACATCGAAATTGTTACACACCCCCTAATTACAAACACAAAACTATTTATCTTTTCTCCTACGATGGTTTTAATAAACACACCGATAGATAGAGAAAAAAAATAGAACTACTAATGGAGTAGACTTGTGACCAAGTTGCTCTAATGTATTCTAAGACATGATTGCTTAGAGTCAAAACCATTGTAGTGAGGTTGGCTCTTAAGTTTTGTATTAAATTGTTGTGGTATTAAATTAATTAGGAACTACATCCATACCTGATAATAGAACTCTCCGCATGCTCCCTGCCAATAGTTTATCAACAAACATCAGTGACGAAACAACCAACAGCACCCTCTTCAACTTAAAAACGGAGAATGTCCAAGAGGAAATAAATCATTTACACTAACCTCGTCTCCCTTATGACACCGATTGTCTTTTTTGTTTCTTCTCTACAATAACAAACAACATAATAACTTTGAAATTCTATTGAAAAGGTGTCGATAAGACCAACACAATTTCACATAAAAATGTGTGATAATCATCATAAAAAGAAAACTAAAGGCACAATGGTATCCAATTTGGGATCCGATGAAAATATTTTCCTTGGGAAGTATCAAGAAATAATTATTATTGAAAAAGATCGATGAATGCAGAAGAAAATAGTCTATTGCCTTTGTACCTATGGGATAGAGATAAAGAACAAAAGAAATATTGAATATTTCACATTTTTTGATACAAGAAAAAAAAGACGCATACTCACATATGAGATCCGAGTTGTGCCCTGCAATGGGAGAAATCTTACTTAAAAATTGAAATGAGAATGTATTGCAAACAATAAAAAAATAACTAACATGGGAGTGGATATAAGATTACATACCGACGACCATCAAAATCCATGCTGCAGTTGATAAGGTAATACAAGGAAATAAAACAAATTAGTCAATGAAAAAGAAAATGCCAAAGAAATCAGTACGAGAGGTAAGGGAGTAAGTTGAACAATGGTCGGGTTGGAGAAAAAGTTAATCACTCACATGTACGAAAAGCCGCTATACAAGCCCAAAGGCATAGCGACGCATAAACCTAAGTTTCCTAAAGAGTAGATCACATAAAATAGATTAACTTGAGAAGGAGCACACACACACACACACACACACACAAGCACACACACTTAACATTAACAATCTTACTTCGTAAAAAGATGTACGTGCGAGGAGACTCCCTACACCAAAGGTCGAACAAATTCAAATCAACAAGATATTAATTGTAATGCAGAGGCGAACAATCAACTCATGAATTACCATACTATACATTATTCTGCAAAAGAATTACTCACCATAACTCTTTCGCGTGAAGAAGGAATAGTGTGCGCCAAATTGTCATGGTGCTGGATTTCTGTACAAAATGGTTTATTTCGTGACCTACCACAAATAAATACACTAGAAGTAAAACCAATCGTGTTGAAAGGTGCTTATTCACCCTTCATAATTTTTGGATAAGCTTTACAAGTACATCTGAAGATTATGATAATTCATTCAAAACACGTAAAACAACAAATAAGAGAAGCAAAAAAGGGGCATCTTCATTCATTTCAGATCTATCTACTTAGCAACAAAAATATAGATATTTTGGTCGCGATTAGGTCGCGCAGAGAGAGAGAGAGAGAGAGAGAGAGAGAGAGAGAGAGAGAGGGGGTTTACCTCTTTCGCCGGGAGAATGAATGGAGTAAGAATGATGTTTGTCATATCCATTTGCTGTGTTTTTAAGGTGTTTTGTGGATCATAAGATGGTTCAATGGGCGAACATTATGTGGAGCAGAGAATATTGGGCGCCCATGCAAGTGCCAAAATTTGGGCTTTAGCAGAACTATAACAAATCAGGCCCAAAATTTCAAAGACATTACTTTCAAACAAACGTGGCTTTGTATCCTCTCCAAAAATTATTGCGATTAATTAATACCATAAACATAATCATAACACTCGAATAAACTGTTTAATTTATCAGCGCATTCGGAATTATATGTACGAGCGATTTTCTTTGGTTAATAGCAACAAGTTGGGTTGAGACTTGAGAGAGGAAAAGATAGAGACGGAATTCTGCGCTGCGACACCGTTTCATCATCTAGGGCCAAATCGATCACCATCGTTAACCTATAATCAGCAATCGCGGTTTTCCGATGACTCATCACGGTGGATATGATGATCGGAGGAGATCGCCGCCATACGATTCTTCGAGCGATCGAAGCTCCCGTCACCATCATCAGGTTTTACTGTAATTTGTTTGTAGTTCGAGAGTTTACGTCGATTTTCCATTACTAAAAGGTTGTAGCTGGGTTGTTTAGGTGAATTATAATCTATTAAGTCTTTTACTCCTGTTTAGAGGGTTTGACGTTGTACTATATCACATCTAGAATTATTCATTAACGTAGTCATACAGCATCTGCTTTCTTAATCTGTCTTCGTTTTGTGAAATTATGTATATACTGCGCTTATAAGAAGGATTTCAAACCTGTTGGGAATGGTTGATTACCAATGTTTCAACTTTCATGTAAACTTGTCCTCTTGCGGGGTGTTTTGAATTTGAGTTTATAGGTTTTTTTATGCCATGTGGAATCACTGACTTGTATCCTTGGTCGTGCAGCATAAAATTCGTAACTCGGATGACAAGGAATTCAGGAGTAAAGAGCGGAATGGAGATTTTGAGAAACATCAACATCGAAAGCAAGATGAACGGGCAATTTCAAGAAAACGTGAGAGAAAATGCAGTGATGAGGATTATGGAAATAGAGGAGATCGTGAATCTAGCAGGTTATTTCTAATTTTGGAATTTACCTTTGTGCTAGAGCAACGTCAATAACATGAGAAGCTGGCTCGCTGGATTTTATATTTTATTTTATTTGTTCTTCAGTCGCTTTTAACTAATTATTGGTGATAATTTTAGCATGCTTTTGTCTCAAGTATCATAGGATTTAATTTCTTATTTTGTGTGGTGCATGGTGTACAGGTATCACAAGCATGGTAAAAATAGAGAAAGCCACCATAGACGGAGGTCACCGAGCCGATCGGATGATAAACCCATTAGGTACGCTACATTTCATAAAGCCTACCTTGTTCTTGAAGTATGTTCGATGGCTTCAGTCAAATATATAATATATTTTCTGATCACCAGTTTTCGTGTTTGTGTATGGTCTTATGTTTGTAGTTTATAAATAGCATGTTTTTTCGGATATCGCTATGACATTGTTTGTCAGTTATGCTGTATGTACAGATAAAACTGATATCACTGCTTCAAATGTGTTATAGTCTCACGTTTCTTTAATTTCTCTAACCGCCTGTCAGCAATATATCTTATTTAAGTCGCCTTCTTTTAGTTATAATGTCATGTTCACCAAATTCATATTTCAAAGTCAATAACATTTGATTTATTTTTTGGTACAGTTTGTTGCTTTCATGTACATTTTTTTATCTTTTATTTATTTTATTACAGCAAGCGAACAAGTGGTTTTGATGTGGCGCCACCTGTTACTACTGTTATGACAAATCCATCAGGTTAGCCTGTGAACATGTCTCTATACATTTTGATTGAATTGCTTTCTTACCTATTTTTATGGCATTTCAATATTTTGGTCTTATATATTTCATTCTTTGGTCGGTGCTTATTAATATTATACTAAAATCATCATTATGTTGTTGGCTGTTGTGTGTGTTTTTTGTTGTTGTTGATTTGCCATCATTACGTTAAGAGAGCAATTTATGGCTTTGATGTCCTGCCATGCTTTTCATGGGTCTGAGAGACTGAGAGGGATGGATGCTCCAGTAGCAGGAACTTATCATCTTCCACTACAACTATTGTTAGTTGGTAGACTTGAAGTGTAAGCCAAATGCAGTGGTGAAAATTATTTCATATAATAGATTCTGATTCGTTTACTGTACTGAGTAAGAATAGGCCTTCTTTCTGTCTTCAATAACCTGATCTATTGAGTATGGCCGTTTTGTATGTTTCCAGGCTGAGACTTACTGCTGAATTCCATTTGAGTTGGTACAATAGATGTCTTTTTTCATCCCTCGTGTTCATTGTGGCTGATATCTTATTTCTCATTATCTTAATTATCCAGAACAATTAAATGGAGCTTCTGTGGCTTCTCAATCAGTCTCTGGAGTGCTGCCAAACATGCTTGCTTCTCAGACAACTCAGGTATACCAGATCGGGAGGTGTTGTTTATCGAATTCATTATATTACTCTCAACCGTTAACCTTTTTCTTTTTTATAATTTGAGTTGAGGCATTCTGCTCCTTGATAGGTTAACATGTTAGGTTCAGTTTCAGCATTGCCAGTTCAAGTAACTCAGCAGGTCGTGATTCTTAGTATATTCTTTTATTATCTTAAATTCAACGAAAACTTACCAGTTTCTATGGGTATGTCGTTCAATAGGCAACAAGGTTTGCGCGTAAAGTGTATGTTGGTGGCCTGCCTCCTCTGGCTAATGAGCAGGTACACGATTATCGCACCCTCTCTGTCATTGTAGTGTTGTGCTGCTAGCCTTTCTTTCATTTCTCTACTCTTTCATTTTATTAAATTGTTCTTGGCATATCTATGTTCTTGTTTTTACTTTTCTTCCTAAAGCATATTTGACTATAAACCTCGGAAAAATACTACTCATTCACATGTCATTTCCATGTCCTCTCCTCAAATTAACTTTTGTTTACTGTGATCGTGTTTCTGCTTGTTCGATAGGTGGCTCAAGTTATTGTTGCATGCTTTCTTCAGTTAAGTTTGTTTCTTATTTATTTCAATTGGTGCAGACAGTCTCCAGGTTTTTCAGCCATGTTATGAACGCTATTGGTGGAAACTCAGCTGGTCCAGGTCTGTGATCGTTCAACACTTTTTGCAAACTGTATGCTTGTAATCTTTTCTTCTATTCTAAGCATCAGTGAATGTGTGCATGTCAGGTGATGCTGTCGTGAATGTCTACATTAATCATGAAAAGAAATTTGCATTTGTGGAGATGAGAACCGTAGAAGAGGCAAGCAACGCTATGGCTCTTGATGGAATTGCGTTTGAGGTTTGTTGAGCATCCTTCTTTGTTGTTCTAATTATCCACCATTATCCCATTACCTTGTCATTGCGGGTGCCATCTGTTTTGGATCCCAAATTTGTTGCAACTTTCATGGTATCTTTCCCATTAAATAAAGCAGATGCCACATCTTTTTACCCCGTTGACTCATCTAGGCATGGAACTAGGAGTTAAGAGGCTTATTTGCATTTTGGTAATTGATTTATCATTGATTATCCATAATATAAATGACATGTCTGTTGGAAATTGGACATTAAATTTCTTATCTAGAGTTAGTGTATGAAATATCAAGAAATAACTACCTCCATTTCCTTGATGGCCAAGATTTATGCCCAGTTTCTATTCGTTCTTTCTTTTTCCTCACATTTAGTGAAAGGTTGGTTTATTTGACTTCACAAGTACCCGAAACGTCATGCTTAATTTTAAGTTTAATTAGTTCTCACTGCTCAGTTTTAACAGGAGTTACTATATGTTATCGAATACGTCTGCACAAGAATGGATATAGCTGTCACATGCCTGAATTTTTATGTCTGCTTGATTGTACTGTTCTTGCTTCGATATGTAATCTTTCTTATAGTGAACTTATTTTTTTGCTACTAAAGAGCATAACTTCAAAGGGCACATGTGAATATCTGAGCTCCAAACTTATCATTGCTCATCATTTTATTATTAATACAATAACAGGGAGTTTCGGTGCGAGTCAAAAGGCCTACAGACTACAGTCCTTCCCAGGCGGCATGCCTTGGTCCTAGCCAACCGGGTCCATATCTGAATTTAGCTGCTGCTGGACTGACACCTGGGTAGCTACCGTGACTCTTTTCTTCTGTTTTTCACATGGCCGTCCATTTCAATCTGCTTGGATTTGAATTTGTTATTCCATAAATTATTCAGATTCCCAACTTTGCTTCAGCACCTCAGGGCTTTTGTGTTTCCAATGAATTATTCAGATTCCCAACTTGTGCATGCTATTACAATTACTATGAATTACATTGTCTCATTGATCTTCTCATGTCCTCTGCCTTTGTTCATTACTTGTTACACTGTAGTTTATCCAACTCAGTACTTATTCTCTTTTGGTGTTTTATTATTAGAATGTCTACTGAAGCTGATGGAGCTGATCGTATTTTTCTTGGTGGGGTGCCCTACTATTTTTCTGAAACTCAGATAAAAGAATTGTTGCAACATTTTGGGTATGAAATATTTTTGTTGTATTTCGTCTGCTTCATAATATTTTTGTTGTATCTCGTATGAAATATTATCTCTGAAATAATATGTTCTAATTGATCAATGCCGCAGACCTTTGCGAGGACTTGACCTTGTTAAAGATAGAGATACTGGAAACTCCAAAGGATATGGATTCTGCATCTACAAGGTATGCAAAAGCTGGTGCTAAAACATCTGTCGTGCTTTGTCTTCTCTAAGTTACGCTTTTAAAGCAGTAAGAACTTGTTTGGATACAAGATTTTCCAAAAAAATCCAATCATTTTTAATCAATCACTTTTTTAAAGTCCTCAATATTATTAAATAATATCAATCAATCATTCCACTCACAACTAACCATCACTTCACATCATTCCGCTCCTACATTTACATCAAATCAACTTTAATTATTTTATTTTAAATACTATTTTGAACTCAAAATCCCACTAACAACTAACCAACCATATTTTTCAAAATTAACCAAACAAAACCAAAAAAATCCAAACTAGATAAAAAAATCTTATATCAAAGCCCGAAGTTTTCTGTGATGCATTCTTGTCCCACAGTTCCTGTTGAATGTATCCACCTGCTGCACTTCTCCTTTCTATCATCTTAGCAGATTCTTTTTTTTTTTTCTTTTTAATATAATTATATTTTCACTGGGGTCCAGATTTTCTAAATGTTTTGACTTCCATACCCCTCATTAGCTCACATCCTTACTATTTTGTTTCATTCAGGATCCGTCAGTCACAGATATTGCTTGTGCGGCTCTAAATGGCTTAAAAGTAGGTGATAAGACGCTTACTGTTCGGCGTGCCACCATCAGGTGAACCTAATGTGCCCGTTATTTTTGCAGTACCTGACAAGGTTTTGAATGTCGAATTTTGTTGAATTTTCTTCTCAATTATCGAGCTATTTAAACTCTATCCTGATCCAGCTGTGCTGGATCTTTCTTACTTTCTTCATGCAAAAAGTCATTGTTATAAGTTTGAAAACGCAAAATGCAAGAGTAATATTTATATTTGTGGTAGTTTGCTTATCAAAACATCGTATTTTAAAAACATAAACTGTCTATTGCATTATATATGTGGGAAACAGAAGTATATAAGGTTTCATTGGTAGGAATGGTCTTGATATTTTCTACTGGAGCATTTTCTGTTTTCAATATATTGTAATTTTATTGGCTGAATTTGCTTCCTTGCTATGGGAATGTGTTGTGTTATGATTATTATTGTTATTTTAGCATTTGTGTAAGGCATTCTGACTTGTTACATCACTATTTTTTGCAGTGGACATTTAAAACCAGAGCAGAGTGATACACTGGTTCAGGCACGGGAACAGATAGCAATGCAGGTTTTATGCTAATGTCCTTTGACTAATCTTAGTTCGTGCCACCTTGTTATTCTTTATACATCCAGTTAACAATTTTTGCTTCTGCGACATTTATTTCATACAAAACGTACAACAACAACAACAACAACATACCCAGTATATTC